GCAGAGCAGGGAGCCCAATGCGGGGCTCGATCCCAGGACCCTGAGATCATGACCTGAGCTGAAGGCAGACGCTTAATGACTGAGCCACCCAGGTGCCCCAGTCTCACTATTTCTTAGGTAGAAGAGAATAATATCCATGTTCTGAGTTACTCCTGAAAAAAGGCATTGGGAGTTTTGCAAGCGTATCAGGAAATAGAAGATATGTTCATTGTAGCCTCTTTATCTCTCCCACCTTGAACCAGCCTCCCTGTTCCTCCCTTTCCTGTTTCTCCAGTCCTAAACTTAGTGAGGAGACGCGGGGGTACAGATGAGCGAAAGAGGGATGGGTCAAGGGCGGACAGGCAGGTGCTTCCCTGCAGGTGTGGGTGAGTGATGGGCGGGTTCCCTGCGAGCGAGCGTCTGCCGCCCCTTGTGCCGTGGCCTTCCCACCTTTGTCGTGTTCTCTCTTTCAGCCCCGACAGCAGCCGTACATCTTGCCTCCCATGCACGTCCAGTGTGGGGAACACTACTCGGAAACGCATACTTCACAAGGTAACGGGCTTGCCGTTTTCCCTTCTTCAGACGAAAAGTTGAGGACCTGTGAGCAGTAAAGATGATATTGGTTTTTTTTTAGATGACAGTCATACTTTTGTTTTGACTTTGTCATTGTCTGAATGACAAGAGGCAGCGCAGCTTCGATTTATGAAAGGCATAGCATGTCATTGGCCCCCGAGAGGAAAATTTTTCCAGAATTGGCTGCCAAGGGAGTTGGGAGAAGGCAGGGGGCAAGTTCCTTTTCCTCCTGCCTCTGGTAAGTGGGCTTTGAGAAGAGAGAGGGACAGTAAGCCCAATGGAACTGCCCCTGTCGGAAAGCTTGGAACAGTCAACTGGGCTCTCATGGGGACAGAGAATACAGGCGTCCAGCATACTTAAAAGAAAGGCACAAATCCTCTCAACTCCTCTTTTACATTATTGCTTGCCAGTTGTCTGTGCACTTGTTCTTGCCTCTGACTACATCTGTTTTCTTCCTCTTTTTCTCCCCCAAACACCACCGTGCAAGATGTGTGAGAAAAATTCATTCCAATAATAATGATTATAATAATCACAATTAACGTTTATAGGACAATTCCTCTCCCTAAGCAGTGTGCTAAGCCCTTGCAACGTATTGTTTCATTTAATCCTCGAACCCACGCAATAGGTACCATTATTCCATTTTGCAGATACAGAAAGTGGGATACAGAAGGAGTGTTGGAGGAACTTGGAGAGAAAAACTGGTGTTAAGAGCTAGGGCTCTTCATCATTACACTAAACTGCATTGCAAAAAAGGAATGATATTAAACTTGGATGTTGACAATCTGTTAAATGGATAATTAGTTTCTGTGTTACTGTATGCCGCCTATTTTGAATCTCTCTGTGCTATCAGTGTGAGTATGGAAACTTAGATAATCGAGACTATTTAAAGAACACTGCTTTTTATAAGCAGACTAGCAGAGTTGCCCTGCTTCTGTGGGAAAGCATGAAACTCCACTAGAGGTGGAGAAGGGGGACACCTTTGTCTCTGTGTTTTGCTGGTTTTTCTTACCCAGCGCATCTCATCTGGTCTGGGACCCTACTCCTCTTCAGGCAGCTGAGTGTTTTCAGTCACCTTTTCTGGTTGGTGGGGGTGTTTTGTTTTGTTTGCCTTTCTGCCTTGTCTTCCTCTACTTTGCTCATGCTTAAATCCATAGCGTGAAAATGAATGTACTTCGCCTACCAAAAAGTGTCTCAGCAAGAGGTTGCCTCTGTGTGTGTGTGTGTGTGTGTGTGTGTGTGTGTGTGTGTACACACATGGGTACGTACCTGGAATGGGCCTGACGTTAGAAATCTACTCTTTATCCCTTTAGATACCTCCTTAAGGTATTATTAATTTTAATGTGAATTGACCTCGGTGAGGAAACCAATTCTAGAGGAGAGTTTTAGGCAGTGGCTGAAAGAACCCCTGATTCTGATTTTGCCTCCTCTGGTTGCTGATCAGAACAAACTAGCCATGCATGCTGACGTCCTGGCTGCGTCGCTTAATGTGTCTTAATGAATGTTCAGCCATCCCTCGGGTAAGGGGACCTTTTCCACTGCCGTCAAGAGCATGAGCCTCAGGTACTCAGTAACGTCAAATCTGTTGCCCTGTTAAAGTTCTTGACTTCCTGGCCCCAATATCCAGTCCTCTGTTGCTGGATGCTGTGCAGGAAGACCGGTTTACCCCCCATGAGGGCCATTGTTGGTGCCCGATTGCAGAGCTCATGGCAAAATCGAGAACTGAGCCAGGTGATGACTAATCCAAATGTGCTTAGTTTCCTTTGATTAGATTCCCTTTTTCTTGTTAGTATGCTTTAAAGCGTTCCTTCTGTATGTTGGCATCCCACCCAAGAGTTACCCGTTTTCCCATGGAATATGTGGGGGGAGACCACAGGATTTCACTTTTAATGATTTGTAAAAATCACGCCCCCGAGGGTGAGGCTGAAGGTAGTTGAGGCAGGATGATGGGGAGGCTCACGTGCCTTCGTTTGCCTTCCTGTAGACAGCATTGTCCCCGGGAATGAAGAAGCCTTATACCGCAACTCTCACAACAGCCTGGACCTAAACTATCTAAACGGCGCCGTCACCAATGGCAGTGTGTGTAGTGCTCACAGCATCAGCTCCCTCAGCTGCTCCCAGACGTTCATCCAGGCCTCTCCCGTGTCCTCCAGCCTCAGTATCCCGGGCAGTGACATCATGCGGGCGGACTACATCCCTAGCCACCGGCACAGTGCCATCATCGTGCCATCCTACCGGCCGACACCCGACTATGAGACGGTCATGCGGCAGATGAAGAGGGGGGTCGTGCACGCGGACAGCCAGAGCCAGTCTCTGCGCAACCTCAACATCATCAACACGCATGCCTACAACCAGCCAGAGGATCTGGTGTACAGCCAGCCCGAGATGCGGGAGAGGCACCCCTACACAGTCCCCTATGGGCCCCAGGGAGGCTACGGTAACAAACTCGTCAGTCCATCTGACCAGATAAACCCAAAGAACAACATGGTGCCCAGCAAGCCGGGGGCGAGTGCCATCTCCCACACGGTGAGCACGCCGGAGCTGGCCAACATGCAGCTGCAGGGCACCCCGAACTACAACACGGCCCATATGCTCAAAAACTATCTCTTCAGGCCGCCACCCCCCTACCCGCGGCCACGCCCTGCCACCAGCACCCCGGACCTCGCCAGCCACCGGCACAGGTACGTCAGCGGCAGTAGCCCTGACCTGGTGACCCGCAAAGTGCAGCTCTCCGTGAAGACCTTCCAAGAGGACAGCTCCCCGGTGGTGCACCAGTCTCTCCAGGAGGTGAGCGAGCCCCTCACGGCCACCAAGCACCACGGCACGGTGAATAAGCGGCACAGCCTGGAGGTGATGAGCAGCATGGTGCGGGGCATGGAAGCCATGACCCTGAAGTCGCTCAATATCCCCATGGCTCGCCGAAACACCCTCCGGGAGCAGGGGCCCCCCGAGGAGGTGCCGGGGAGCCACGAGGCTCACCAGCTTCCCCATTACCACCACAAGAAGACTTTCTCGGATGCCACCATGCTGATCCACAGCAGTGAGAGCGAGGAGGAGGAGGAGGAGGAGGCCCCGGGATCGGTGCCCCAGATCCCCGTGCTCCGGGAGAAGATGGGGTACAGTGCCCAGCTACAGGCAGCCTTGGCCCGGATCCCAAACAAACCCCCACCCGAGTACCCTGGCCCAAGGAAAAGTGTTAGCAATGGGGCGCTGAGGCAAGACCAGGTCAGCCTGCCTCCTGCCATGGCCAGGGCCAGGGTCCTGAGACACGGGCCGGCCAAGGCCATCAGTGTCTCCCGAGCTGACCAGCTGGCCGTGGCTGGGCCTTCCCTCGGTCCGTCCATCTCTGAACCCGACCTGACGAGCGTGAAGGAGCGGGTCAAAAAAGAGCCTGTGAAGGAGAGACCCGTGTCCGAGATGTTCTCCCTGGAAGACAGCATTGTAGAGAGAGAGATGGCCCTCAGGGTAAGTGTCTTGCTCTCCCAGGGCAGAGTCTGCCCCCCTCCCCCCCCAATCACAGCCTCCTCTGCTCCTTTGCCGTGACTCAGAGCATAAAAGCACCCGGATGCTGGGCACTGGAGAAGGTGCGGGGCTTATCCAGGGCATGTGTTGGGGAGTTGGAGAATCAGTGGGCATTTCATCAGGCACTGTTTTCTTTCACAAAACTTTGTGTTTTACTCTTTCAGCTAAATTTTCCGTGTTCATTCAGGGCTTCTAATTGGTGTCCTTGGCACCCAGCGCCGTCATGGAGTCAGCATGCTGCAGGCTGGTTTTCGGGACGGAGTCCAGGCCAGCATCATGCTCTTTATTCAGGGTCACTTACGCTGTTGTGTGAGCTGCTAGGAGCTCTCCTTCCTACCTCTCTTGTTGGTTCTTCCAGGGGAAAGCATTTTTCCCCGATTAGATAGTGTAAGAGAGCAGCATCCCTTCAGAGCATAGCTTTGTGTGGAGATCTCTGTCAGGATGGCTCACCAGCATTGACTGGACCATGATGTGTCCAGCCTTATTTTCAGATTTTCTTTCAACAGATGTTCAACACAAACCACGAACACTGCAGTAAACTCGCAAGTTCACCATTGAGCTTCAGTTCCCAATTAAGCTCATTCTATCAGAATTCACACACGTGTGTGTGAATACACACATGTATCTACACACACTGACAACATTTGAAGATGCCTGATATTAGACATAAGTAACTGTCATTCAGCTGTGTACCAGCTGGGAACCAGGTCTGTTGCCAGAGCAGGAGTGTGTAGGTAACAGGTGCACACACAGATCAACGAAGTGAATTATCTCCTAATGAGGAAATTGATAGATTGTAGTTGCTACTTTAAAATTTTATTTATTCATTGTATTTTAGAGCGAGAGAGAGAGAGCGGGGGGAGGGGCCGAGGGAGAGGGAGAGAATCTCAAGGGGACTTCGAGCTGAGTGCTATCCCACGACCCTGAGGTCATGACCTGAGCTGAAACCAAGAGTCAGATGTTTCACTGACTGAGCCCCCCAGGCGCCCCTGTTGTTGCTACTTTAAAAAAAAAAAACCAAACTTCAGATTACCATTGCTGCTTGTTCTGGAAATTTTCACTCCCTTAAAAAGTGCAAAATCATTTCATTACAACTAAGCAGACCCTCCTTGACTTCTCCTCTGCAGGTACCACATCTCTACCGTAAGGTAGCTGGCACTTAGGAACTCCAGAGTGGCTGCCAAGTTAAAATTTGCTTCGAGGGGGTTCTTAGACTCCCTTCTTTTATAAGTCTCCCTGCACCCCAGTGGGTAATCAAGCTGAGAGAACAGTTAAAGGTCAAAGTTTTAAGGAAGCCGCGTTTTGGGGTCCAGGGATCTAATCTGTAGCAACATTACTTTATTTTTTAAATTTTCTTTAAAGATTTTACACACAGCGAGAGAGGGAACACAAGCAGGGGGAGTGGGAGAGGGAGAAGCAGGCTTCCCGCGGAATAGAGAGCCCGATGTGGGGCTCGATCCCAGGACCCTGGGATCATGACCTGAGCGAAGGCAGACGCTTAACGACTGAGCCACCCAGATGCCCCTGTAGCAACATTATTACTTTAGACAAATTTTCAGAACATTCCCAGCAGCTCCGATTTGGCCCTGAGTAGAGTAGCGCTAAGAATTTGGTACAGGCATAACTTTTTCCACTTTTTGCAAACCTAGAGGGAAATTGTGAAAGATGTGCTTGTGCCTCTGGCCAATAAAACCATTTGGCTGGGGGATGGAATGAAACACGGGGGTGGTGCCATGGGGGCGAGCTTTCCCAGCTTGGAAAAAGTCATGCATTGGTAGAAATGGATTTTCAGCACGTCTTGGCCCCAGGGGCTCCTTTACCACAACTCAAGAACCTGTCAGTTCGAGCATTCGGCTCTGCTGTTTCCCCTGCTGATTTGATGTTTATTGACACCTACATGGTCCCGTAGCTTCATGGTGGTCATCTTCATCCTCTCCTCTTGTTACCTGTGTTCATCAAAACCCTGGATCCATACCCATGGTTCTGACTCCCTACACAGAGCTTCATGCATCATCACAGAGAAGCAAGGGAGTGTCCACTGTTTTTCCTGCGTGCTCTCCCACCCCATCCATATGGATAATAGCAAATAACTGATTTCACCCCTTAATTGTAGCTCAGGAACATCATTACCCCATCCCTACTTCATTTTCCCATTGATTCTTCCCCCCCCCCCCAAATTATATATACTCAGGAGCTCAGGGACTGCTGCCCTTGGCTGGTGTCTTGACCTTAGAGAAGGACTAGGAGGTTCTTCAGTGAGCCACTGTGTCAGTGAGTGGCTCTGAAGGTTGGGATGGTTCTCCATCTGCTCTTTTTTATCAAGAAACTCCCTCCCCCCCCCCACCCCCGTGCCCTTCCCACATCTCAGATGCTCTTCTGCCCTCCCCACCATGGGCGGCTTGTGCCTGGCTTGTTAGGAATGGGTAAGAATGGAGAAAGCTGTCCAGGCTTCTCTAGGATAAGAAAACAGAAAATTTAACCAAAGGGGAACTGGAGGGGGACAGGTATGGTGAGAATGTCCCCTGTGGGCAACTCTCCATAATTTTGGAGCCACTTGTCTCATTGATGGATGATTCAGGCCCGCTGTTGTGGTAGGGTCCTCCTTCTGGCTTCTGCTGCCGTGAGCACATTTCACTGTTTGTAGCCCCTGAACCCCAAATCGGGTGCCAGGAACAGAAAAGGCCAAATCAGATTTTTGAGTTACTTATTTTTTATCTCTGGTAACAAGCTGATAGGATAGGTGAGAAGGAACTAAGAGAAGTCGTTTATCGCTGGGGTTTCGGTTTTCAGTAGGTAACTAGTAATCCTTTCCTGAGAAAGACATGTTAGTTACTTTTTGCCTTAGGCCTCGTTAGTGTCACCTTATGGTACAGATGGGAAGGAAGCAGAAGGACTGTTTGGAGGACCTTAGGGACATTTTTTTTTCCCAAAATGATTGCTTTTCTCAGAATTTTGCAAAGGAAGTGAAATGTTCCCATTTAAATGAGGTGACGGGGAGAAAATTATTTCTCACAGACACAGACTAATAAGCAGACGAACAAAAGCCCAAAATTGAAATCTGGAATCTTCAAAATCTTCCTGGGATTGAGAGGCCAGGGCCATTCTTTTGGCTGAAGGTGAAATCCGCCTTTTCTCACTTTCCCACAGTTAGTCTTCCTCTGAGATATTCCTTTAGTTTGTCTGCTGGGTCGGTCCTGTCACTGGATGAAGCATCTTATTGGCGGCCGTCACTCAGAAGGGCCAGAGCTCCGTTCTGACTAGGTGACATTGAGAGGCTGATGGGATGCATGTGGGGTTCTAATGCCCGCCCGTCCCCCGACACTTGGAATAATCCGCTAACCCTTTGTCCTCCACCAGCACCATGGCTCCATCACCACACCTCTCGGGGGAGTAACTTTTTAAATGATAGTCTCAGGAAAAAAAAAAAACACCTTAAGCCTTGAAGAGAAACCAGGGATAAGATGACCCCCTTCACCTGTGGCAGCCAAAGGAATCTACAGAACGGTTTCACTTCTGTTAGGATCAAAATCTTAAATGCTGTTTAACTCCTCTGCTCGTATGCTTTAGGAAGTTCTGCTATTCTTCTGCCTTCTAAGACAAAACTATTTTTGGGAAATGCTCTCACTGGCTAGCCTGAGTATAAAAGGAGATTTCTTTTATAACTCAGTCTGTTTAGGGGGCACAAGAAAGCACAGCAGTAGACATAACAACCAGAACCTTGACTGATCCAGTTTCAGAATGTTGGTGCAGGTGAGGATGGAGAGGAAATCAAAATGCCACAAACAGGGGCCACGCATTGACCTCCAACCCTTTCCCAGAATGGGCTGCTTAGCCCCCAAATCCATATTCTCCCATAGCTGTGTCCCATTCAGTCCCACCCTGGTCATTGGGAGCCATGGTGCCCATTCCTTGGGGCCTTTTGGACACAGCAGGAGGGGTGATGCCTCATGGGTCATGTTAGATGACCACAGACTTTGGTCTTGGCAAATCTGCTAACCCACATCAGCCCTCGTACCGGGGATGGTATCCCAGGGACCAAAGCTTCAATATAGGATTGACATCCTCCATCTCAGGCCCTCAGAATGGAAACTTGGGAAGGTTGTTCTTTATGGCTTATGAATCTAGATTTCTTAACAATGCAGCCAACAATGTTTATAGATTTTTTTTATCACTTAATCTGTATAAAAGGTCCATCACTGTGACTGGATTGGATTGTTCATGATGCTTTTTCTCTTTCCCTCGTCCTGTCTTCCTTCAGCCCTTACCTTCCGGAAGTGTCTTGCTAGTACACAGTTTTGCTTTTTTTTTTTTTTCTTTTTTTCCTTTTTGAGTGAGCCGCACGACAGGGGGGTATTTGCATGGAGTCTTTGCTCTTACTTGTTTGTTAGTTCATTCATTCATCCATTTTTAGATAAAAGCTCAGGAGTCCCGGAGGAACTGGCTTCCGCAGCACAGTGGGAATAATGGGAAGGCTGTGTTTGAATTTGCCCCACTAATGGTAGATTGTCTGCATTCCTTGGCTGGGGAGTTACAGATTTGGGGAGATTAAAACACATTCCAGCATTCTACCCGTATAATAAACAATGAGAACATGCCTTTTCTTGCCACAAGAATCTAGAGAAGCAGAAGATGGCAAGTCTGGAGGCGCAGAAGCGGCCGCTCATGTTGGCAGCATTGAATGGACTCTCGGTTGCCCGGGTCTCAGGGCGGGAAGAGAGTCGAGCTGATGCCACCCGAGTTCCCATGGATGAGAGGGTAAGCGCTGGGCTTGTCAAATGTGTGATTCATGCTCTGTGGTCTTGGGATTCCAGAGCTCTCTCCTTGCCCAAACATGCCAGCACTAAGGTTTGTTTGATGAATTAATTCTCCAATTTGAGCTTAGCAAGACCCGGTGTGTGCACTGTATTAAATTGATTCTTTCCAGCATCTCCAGTTTCTTTGTCGAGTCGGCATCACAATGCCTGCATAACGGGACCAGCCCCTAACAGGCTGCGTGGCCTTGGTCCAGTCATTCCGTTTCTTTGGGCCTGTTTCTGTTTTTGCAAAACGAAGAAGTTAAGCCATTACTGTAGGTCTCAAACCTCTATGAATTTTGTGAACCCTTTCTTAGGGAGTGATTATCTTACCCAGACACTTAAAGGATTCTTTAAGTGTTTGGCTGTAAAGGTGGCTGATTTATCATTGTTAGGATAATGCGTTGTGAGAACTTTGGTTTTGAAAAGCAGGAAGAAGATCCATGGTAGTGTTTTAGAGGTGAAGAAAGGTGTTCCTTTAGTTCCTGAAATTCCTGTCCGGTTAAGAAACACGTGTAAAAAAAAATTTTTTTTAAGACCTTTATTTATTTGACAGAGAGCGACAGCGAGAGAGGGAACACAAGCAGGGGGAGGGGGAGGGGGAGAAGCAGGCTTCCCGCCGAGCAGGGAGCCCGATGCGGGGCTCGATCCCAGGACCCCAGGATCATGACCTGAGCCAAAGGCAGACAGACGCTTAACAACTGAGCCACCCAGGCACCCCGAAAGGTGTAAATTTAATAGAGTGCTAGTACCATTCCTGTTTTAGATTTCTGTCAGCATATATGAAGTATTAGAAAGGTTTTAAAGGCAGAAGGGACTTTAGAGGAATCCCCATTTAATCCAGTGAATACCATGTTTGTATAATTAGTTTGGCCATGGGAAAAATAAAAGAATCTCATCCTCAGAACTAGGGAACTGTGGACCAGTATCATCTTAAATTTAGCTCAAAAAAAAAAAAAAAACCGCTCTGGAAGTGGAGAAAAGGATGATGTTTGGATAATTGAGATGAACATTCTTCTTATCACTAGGACTTTAAACAGAGGTGTTAATAACGAAAATAGTGATGTTGAATTTCAGTTCTTGCCTGGCCTTACTGACCGGTTCTGTTTAAAGCATGAGTGAGAAGGAAACTGGTTACTAGGCCAGAGAAACTAGCAATATGGTGAATAAGGAGACCGAAATAATCAAGCATTCATTGTATGTCCTGAAACTGCTTATTAACACGATCACTGCAGATATTTAAAGGAATCTGACTTGGAGTTTTTGGATAAGGTAATCCAGAGAGCTGAAGGTTAATTTCTGTTGCAGTTCAGAACCCTGAAGAAAAAGCTAGAAGAGGGAATGGTGTTCACAGAATACGAGCAGATTCCAAAGAAGAAGGCGAACGGCATTTTCAGCACGGCTGCTCTGCCCGAAAACGCCGAGCGAAGCCGCATCCGCGAAGTGGTCCCCTATGAGGAGAACAGAGTGGAGCTGATCCCGACCAAAGAGAATAACACAGGTTACATTAATGCCTCCCACATCAAGGTGAGAAGGGGAGTGTGTTGGGGAGGCTTGAGGAAGATCGCTGGGTTAGGGGCAAAAATGCAGGGAGAAAAAAAAATCGTAAGGCTCCGGCTGAGCATCTTGGCTTGTCCCCAGTCCCCGAGGGAGTGGTTTGAACTCCTGTGCGTCTCAGTCAGCTGGAAGGGCATGTCTGTCTCTGCAGAGAGAAGGAAGCCTCGCAGCCTCAGGGAAAACCTCAGGTCAGCTGTTTTTGCAGCCTGCTCACCACAGAGGGTTTCACTTTTTCCTGAGTTATAACTCTCCCTAATGCTCACAGGGAAAAGCTGAGGATTGTCCTCTTCAGTTAGTAATTAGCACATGATGGAGACTTTGGAAGTTGCAGGCATTGTATTTCTCCTGTCAATGAAGTTTTTAGGATGTTCAGGAGCAACGGAAACTTACCAGTTCTCCCTGGTACTTCTACCGGTTATGTGCTGTCCTGCTAAGGTCCCAAATTTGCATGTTATTTAGAAGAGTGGATTCATTTAAACACAAGCCAGAAAGGTGTGGTTGATAGTGACTCTTGCAAGATTGACTGCATTATTCAGTGCATGAATATCGTTAAATTTTTTGTTGGTATTTCAGATACTTCAAATCTTCACATCTCAGTATTTCATCAACTTTAAAATTAGCGTAGCTCGACCCCAGCTAGAATTTAGAGTTCTAGATACATGTGTATGTATATGGTTAAATGCTTTCTAAATGGCTTACCTTCCTCAGCCTTCCTAGTAACAACATAGTTGCTTAGAATGTCACTGTAAATGCACTGACCTCCAAAGTGGGAGAATTTATTCATATACTAATATTACAGCAGGATGTTTTTAAATAATACACAGTTCATGTTATTAGTCCTTTATGATCATAACCTTATAAATCTGTTTCTGGCCTTGTTGGAGTTATTTCCTTTCTTCATTGGACTTTCCAACTGTAGCTGAATTTTTGGTAGTTTCCTTTGAGCTTCTAAAATACAGCCAGATGTCTGGTGCATGTATCCATCAAATAGTTGCAGGACAGAATAGGAAAAGAATACTGTGGTTGGATGGAGGGGTTTTGTACACGGAGCATAGACAACTACATGTATATTTTTAAGTACCAGAAAGTACTGTCAAAAAATGTAAAGGAGTAACAATTGTGGATCATATTGGGTACTTTAGTTTAATTTTTGAGAGTGAAAACTAAAACTATAAAAAATGAACCTCAGGAAACTCTCACGTAAACTGACACTAGTCAGTTTCCTGGGCTTAATTTAGATTATGAAATAATAACCAAAATAACGAACCAAACAAAGATAAAAATCACACAGCTGCTCCTTGATAGAATGTCTTTGGAATCTGACATAGCTATACTGTGCTATCTTCTTCTTTGGGCCAAATATCCTTCACCATTTTCCATCTGCTCTTGCCCATTGGGTATTGTTAACAGAAGCATCCCCTTTCTCTCTATTCTCCGAGGCTTACATTTCATCTTGTGGATCTGAGTTAGACATGGGTGCATTTAATAGACCCATAGAGCTTGCAAGAACTTGTCCTTGTGTTTTTGGAATAGAGTTGTATATCTTGCCAATGTTTTCTCCCTGGGTTCCAAGCAGCTATTAACACAGAGCAGAGATTGATTTGCTCCAGAGGTAGAATCATCACATCTGTGAAATCTACCTCAGTAGCATTGGTTGTTGTGTTTTTAATGCAGTTTTTAATGCCCTCCTGTCAATACTTGGAATTTGCTGAAAGGCCCCAGGCAGCCGCATACTCTGGAAGTATTTATGGTTCCTATATGTTGGGTGCCAGAGAGGCTAATGTCTAAAATCACAATTCCACAGATAAACGAAACTCCTGGCCAGCCAGCCAATATATGAGTGTTATCTCCCACCAGTACTTGGAAAATGGATTTTGCTTGCCAGTTTTTGACCTAAACATGTCTTGTGTAATGAGACAATAACTGACATTGTTTTTGTTGGAATCCAGTTAGTATATAGTTTCATAAAATAAATGAGGGAAAAAAGTTTCAAACAATGATCACTTCATGCTCCAAGAACTATCCAGAGATTTGCACTGGTGGACGTCTAAGGAGGCCTGACTTTGCACAGGAATGGAAAGGAACACAGAAAAAATGCACCCCCCCCCACCCCCGCCAAAGGGCACAGTTTCACCCTGACAGCATGACCTTCAACACTTTGGGCACAACTTCCTCATGACTCTCTGTCACTGATACTTAATAGCTGCAGAATTAGCCTCCCAAGATCACCCTGAGCTGCACGGGATAATGCTTTCATTATCCAAAATCATCTCATGACTCCGAAGTTTGTTTGGATACTGTGGTACTGCACAAGGGAGAAGTTAACAATCAAATACCATGTATTGTTGATTTAAGTGCATTTGTGCCACCTCCACTCTATATGGCACCACGGAGTAGCGGGAATGATGGAGGCTTACAACACAGTTCATAGCAGGTCATCGGTACAGAGACATCGCTTCCAAAGGGATGTTATTCCGTGGAACACTTTTTTTTTTTTTTAATTGTTTGAAAGGATGCCAGAGAGTACTGTGCCTCAAACTGTGGATCCCAGTATAATAGTGGGGTGTGAAATCACTTTAGTAATCAGGACCAGTTTGGAATTGTATGTGTGTGTTTTAAATAGACTAGATAGAGAAGAGGGAAGAATAGAAACGATCAAAGTACATTGCACATAGTAAGCACAAGTATTGTTTCTGTAACAAATTCTGTTGGGCTATACACAGCCTTAGGGTCATGTAATGTGTGTATGTTTTTAACACTCACTGGTTTGTATATAGTTGAAATTACAGACAAAAATTAGGTGTATTTTAATAGGCTTGAGTGGCAAAAAGTATTTTCATGTGAGAATGTGTCACCAGGCTTTTTGATAATGGCACTAACCCATCTGGCCAAAAAAATATTATCCGGGGTTTTCAGGTAGAGACGGATGGACCCACGGTCAGCAGGTTAACGCTGTCCTGGATTTGGGGTTCATTTACCCTTGCTTTCCTTGGTTTCCAGGTGGTGGTTGGTGGGGCAGAATGGCACTACATAGCTACTCAGGGGCCCCTGCCACACACATGTCATGACTTCTGGCAGATGGTGTGGGAGCAGGGAGCGAACGTGATCGCCATGGTCACTGCGGAAGAGGTAAGGGCACCGGGGGTACAGCTGTCTGTTCCCGGGGGTGGGGGGTGGCCAGAGATCGGCTTTGCATCTGGTGACCTCGCTGCCTCACCCTGCTTCCTACAGCACCATTTCTCTGCAAATCCTTTTTCTCTCTGGCACCCATTTCTTTTCTCTTCTCCTACATAGACTTGTTTTATTTCCCAAAGATGATTGATTGTCGTATCCCATTTTCATCCAGCTCTTTAGCGCTTTTCCTTAGACTGCCATAAACTAAAATCAATCAGACAAATAAGAACCAAACTTCGGTTCAGCCAGCTCACTTTTGTGTGCCAAACAAAGCAATCATCTTTCCCCTGGAATTTGAGGGAGAACTTTGGGGCTGCTGTGGGAAAATCGGCACATGTTCCCCACCTCGGGCGTAGCCAGCCCCACACGCCTTCATGCTTATCAGCTGAAAAGAGACCAGAAACTGTTGTTCCTGTAGAGGTCTCTCTATTCTTTGGGGAGAGGGGGAAAAAAATCTTTTTCTGTCTTTGCCAAGCCAAACATAGTTTTTCTGTTGTAACTAGAGAACTCTGCGTGGTGTTATAAAAACTGGCGCACAGCACTGTTCAACCTAGTGGTTTGCTCGGAGCTTGCCGCCTTTAAGGGAAGGAGTTTTGTGTTTCTTCTCTTGTCACATCCTCCATTTTTTTTTTTTATTTTAACCCCTTGCTTCTCTTCCTTTCATGAAATTTTAACTTCTGTTTTGAAGTCTTTTAAGGGACCAGCTTCATCTGTCTTTCACCAGTATCTATGGTAAGGCATACCCCCTTCCTACAGAGTTTTAACGGGTGGGGAGCAGTGAACACGTTTCCTTCATTGACCGTTCTGAGCAGTTGCTTTCCAGAACCGCCCCTTAAGAAGATAGTGGTGAAAGGCACTTCAAGCCCTTTAAAGCCAGTGGTGCTTCTCTCAGCTGACCCGTATGACCTTCCCATGAAGAGTAAATTCTCCATAAAATCTCTAGAATTGTTTTATCGTCTTATCAAATCTCATTCCTGGAAGGGATTCATTCAGCTCAATGTAGTGTGTCATCTGTGCTGATCTCCCGGGCATGGTGGCCGACAAGATAGGCGTGATCCCTGTCCCCAGGGAGCTTCTGTCCTGGTGGGAGGGACCATACAAAATGAACAAATACAGGAAGCTCATTAGGAGTCACGGCCACCCACGAAGGAAGTGGAAGGGAGGATGGGATAGAGAGTGGTGGGGGTGCTGGTTTCAATCAGATGTACAGCCATGGGCCCTCCGAGGAGGTTGCAGTTGAGCTGAAAGGGTGACCAGAAGGCCGGCCTGACAGACACGAAGGCTGGTGATCTGTGTGGCCGCCAAAGGCTTAGAGTCTCTTGGAATTTGTCATCCACTTGGACACTCAGGAGTGATAGAAATTGAAGCTCAACCTACTTTCACAGGATCGGTCAGTAAAAGAGGCAGGTGTCTTTCAGACTTAAGACTGTTCAAGCAGGTGAGTCAGGGCAGGAGCGTTTGTGTCCCCCCGGGGGGGTGTGGCCCTGTAAGTGGGGGGGGGCCATCCGAGCTCCTCCCACAGGTCTGCCCACTGCTCAGCCCTCCTCTGCCTCCTCCCACTTCCTGCTCTGGGGTTCCTTCCAGGCCACCGTCTGATCCACCCCCCACTCCAGTGACATAACTGTGCAAACCTTACAGATAGACCCCATTTTGTTCCTGCTTCTGGCCCCTCTCCACTAGCTCTTCTGCGACTGCAGCTCGGTTGTCAGTCTTCTGAGTATTTCCTTGCTGTAACTACCCTCGTGAAGCTTATTAGCTCTTAGCGTCAATGCATGGGATCTCCCCTGTGATGGAGACTGCACAGTGCCCTGAATTCGTGACCTAGAAGCTACTCGCATTTCCTCTGTCCTCAGATTTTAAGATGAAGAGGATAAGAGCTTCCCCTGACTTATTTCCAGTTTTGCTTTTGTGTGTGATTCAGGAAGGCGGAAGAACCAAGAGCCACCGATACTGGCCCAAACTGGGTTCCAAGCATAGCTCGGCCACCTACGGCAAGTTCAAGGTCACCACAAAGTTCCGAACAGATTCCGGTTGCTATGCAACCACAGGCTTGAAAGTCAAGCACCTTTTGTCTGGGCAGGAAAGGACGGTGTGGCATTTGCAGTATACGGACTGGCCAGATCACGGCTGCCCAGAGGATGTCCAGGGATTTTTATGTAAGTTTTTTCTTTGCAGTCGGAATTTTACCAGCTGCCTCCATGGTCTCTGATCAGTTGGAAGTGAAATGTAAAGAGAAGATGTTTTCTCATAAGTGGCAAAAATACTATGTCATTGAAGTATATGTCCCTCCATATGGTATGAACGGAGAATACATGTCATTTATCATAGTCTCCTTACCTTTTACCCAAATAAGCTGAAACTGTGGTAAACTAGTTCATTCTATCTTGATGTAGGCTTTTGGGTATTCAATAAATGGCTACTCTGACAGATGTCACATATCTGAGCCTTGGAAACATTATGTTAAGTAGAAGAAACCAGACACAAGAGGACAAACATTGTATGATTCCATTTTAATGAAGTACCCAGAATTGAAAACTTCACAGAGGTAGAAAGGGGGAGTAGAGAATAGAAAGTTATTGTTTGATGGGTACAAAGTTTCTGTTTGGGGCAATGGAAAAATTCTAGAAATGGATCCCGGTGATAGTTACACAACCCTGTAAAAAAGACTTATTTTTTATTTTTCATGGGGGTTTGTGTCTCATAAGCCCTGCATTTCCCTTCCGTATAGCAGAAATCTCAATGAGTACTTTCTGGTTACCTCTGATTAAGATACGGGGAATTATTGAAATCAGCTTGTTTTTGAAACCATCATTTTTGAATTCATCCATATATTTCTGAGAGAGTATGGTTTCCTTAGAAGCTCATTGACCTAGAATATATGCAATACTCTGTTTGAAAAGCCAGAAGTTGAGTGTGTGCCCACTGCATTGCAGGCTGTGGACCAGGCTCTCACCGTCTCTGTTTTGAAGGCACTCCCGGGCTCATGAGAAAGGCAGGCCAGTGAGGACAGTCCGGGGGCTGAGATCTGACACTACCGCCATCTGCTTTTTGGAAATGGCTACAGTGCTCCCCCTTCCTTTCCCACAGTCTGGCCTAACTGTCCTGCACTTGTGGGGACACCCCATTCCTGCCTCTCCCAGTGAGGCCTCGGCTCTCGGCAGATTTCTTACCGAGATGTTGTTGACTGTCCAGCTGAGAGCAGACAGCAGTGGGAACATCACCTGGAGGTTGGATCACGCCAAAGCCTTGATTTTGGTTTGATATTTACTTAGAATTGGGGTATGCGCAGAGGAGAAGGGGGAGAGAGAGAGAATACGTTTCCAAGGAACTATCAGTACCATTTCAGCAAGTTCCAGCGGGAAGTTTCTGACGTATAGTGTTCACTGACGCGAGGACTTCCTTTCCCACTGGGGCAGTTATGATGGGACTTGAGGGGCGGCGGTCGCTGACAGAGACCAGGAGAGGGATGGGAATCAGAGGACCTAGAGCACGGTCTAGAGAGGGCTAGTGCCTCGCCCGAGGTCAGTTACCTGTAGCTCCAAATATTCCTAAGGAGGGCAGGGACCTTTGTAGAACTTTCTTTCCTCTAACAGTGCTCTTTTTAATTTTTTTTTTTTTTCTGGTAATCTTTTGCTAATTGATTTACTAGAATTATCTCCAAGATGCAGAAAATGGAAACAATAAAAGTAGATCAGTTTGATGATTGGTGAACAACTCTGATAGAAGATTGAGTCTATAAGGTGATGAAAATTATAGTCCGATCTTCTCAATCAGAACCAATTTAAGGAAGGCCCATCTAAATTACTGAAAAACAGAGACTGTTTTTTAAAAGATTTATTTATTTTTTATTTTGGAGAGAGAGTGGGGTGGGGGCGGATGGGTGGGGAGGGGCAGAGGAAGAGGGGGAGAGAGAATCTCAAGCAGACTCCCTGGTGAGCACGGAGCCCCACGCGGGGCTGTCTCACGACCCTGAGATCATGACCTGAGCCAAAAACCAAGAGTCAGATGCGTAACGGACTGAGCCACCCAGGCGCTGCCATAGAGAATATTTTTAAACAATGTAAATTTAAGTGTGCTGGGGGGTGGGGGTCTTCAGAATGTTGGCTCCTCCAGGTTTTTAGGAATTTAAAAGGATTTTTGCCTGTGTTTAAATTAGATTCCCTGCAGGCAGGGGACTTAGGGCACATTGTCTTCCAGCCTGGAGAAGTCTTCACTGAGTTACAGCTTAAGGAACTTTATTAACGTGACTGCTAGAGAGAGCATCCATTTTAATCCAGTTTTTCTGTGTTTTATGAAATTCCACGTGGTGGTAGCATCTGCTTTATGGATCAATATTCCTTTTACTTCTCTTCTTAAATTTAGCACAAGAAAAGGCTCTCTTTTGTGTGTGAACGTTGCCTTTTTTGTCAGACAGAGAGTGCACGGTCACCAAATTTCTCTCCTCTTTTACAGAAATGTTGTGAGGAGAATTCCATGCACGGTATTTAGCTCACGTTGGTCCCAGATGGTAACTGCTCCGTCTGGTCATCTCAGATTGCCTTCCCTCTGTTTGGTTTTATTCTAGCTCATTTTACGTTACTGGTGGCGATGGCGATGGTGGTAATAGTTTATTTTGGTAAAACTACTTCAGGTGACTCTTTAATTGCATTAATGTTATAAAGGCAAATAGGAGTTCGTGTTAACTGTATGTAAACAGATGCTTCTAAGTTACTAGACAGGTTTGAATTCACTTTTTTTTCTCTCCAACAATTTGAGCGCTTCCCCAGTCTTGTTTGCAATGCTGCATCGGGATGAGATTTTCTGAGTATCAAGAATCTTTAAATCCGTTTCTCCCCTGAGCTAGCTACTATAAAATCTCTATTACTAATTGACTTTTTCCGGTTCTTGGACTGTTTGAGGATTACATTTTATAGACTTTTCCTTTTTCTCATGCCCATGAACAAGAAAAATCATTAAGGCTTGTACTGCTGTAATTTTTCACTCATGCCCAATTGGAATAGTGAGCAGACCCCTGCGTAGCCCTGCCGAGCCAGGCAGATGTCAGGAGGGACGTGAGAGGTGACAGGACCCCTCCACTCCACACACACGTTGCCTCCAGAAAGGGGAGGGCTCAACTTGAGCTGCTGACATGACCCATGGAATCTAAGCTGAAAAGCAGGAACCACCCCCCCAAGCCTATTTTAAAATCTAAAGACGAAGTCAAGCCTCAGTTGACATTCACTCATTCAGTGAGGGGAAGGAGGAAGGGGCAGATGGATGCTCTTCCCACCAGAAATTGGCTCTGACAGGTGGGCGTTTCAAGGGGACCTAGCTGGTGTTCTGATCCCAGTCTGTTAATAGTAGGAATTGCTGTAAGTAATGTCGAGAATCATCTGCTTGGGGGACTTTGGGATTTGCAGAGGGAAAACAGAATTTAATTTTTAAAAAAGAACTATTTAAAGAACAAATTTTCCCGTGGACTAATTGACTCCCAGCTGGTCCTCTCTGGATCCAGGACCGTACCGTGGGTACCCGCCAAATAATTACGGTCTTGTAAGAACTGTAAATTACCGTCACTTAAAAAACAAAACAAAACAAAACAAGAGTCACCCTCCGTTTCCCACCCCCCACCTTCTCGTACGCAAAGCCACGTAGGACTTTGGTGACGGGATTTGCGTTTCGTCTTGCAGCCTACTTGGAGGAGATCCAGTCGGTCCGGCGCCACACCAACTGCATGCTGGAAGGCCCCCGGAGCCTGCACCCCCCGATCGTTGTCCACTGCAGCGCGGGTGTGGGGCGGACCGGCGTGGTCATCCTTTCTGAGCTGATGATCTACTGCCTGGAGCATAATGAGGTGAGTCATTCGCCACTTTCCCGAATACTCCACCTTGGGGACAAATGGACACCGCGGCCAGACCTTCCCCGGGGCCCTTTTCATTTCCTGTCTTCTGACAAGAGTTTTCCAGATCCATGATTCCTAGTTGGCCTCTGACATTTACAGGCTTTCCTATTGTCCGCCTTTCTCTGCTCCGTGTAGACACGCAGATAACACACGCAAGAAAGCGATGAACGTGTGAGATAGGAAACACTGAGAAAGTCCGCTCTGCATCACGTCTGCTTCCAGGAGGCTAGTGTTGTGCAGCCAGTCTGGTTTTATCGTGGATCGTCTTCCACGGTGGGTTATCTGGTCACAGGTCGTCTAGATGCGACTTGCGCTTCTGGGACGTGTTTTGGCTGAAATCCTATGTGAAAATGTGTATACGGGATCAGTGTCTTTCATTCTTCAGAGGGAGGTTTAATTTAAAGAGGGTCATTTGCTCTCGTCGAGGCGGGCAGTGGGGTAGCACAGCAGGGTCGAGCCTCTGAGCGCACAGACATGGCCTGCCTGTGCCGGGGCTGGACACCTCGCTCTTCTCCCCACAGAGGGGAGCTGCGGCTGTGGGGCGTCCCCCTGCTGCTCGAGGCCAGGGAGTCGTATGGAGGGGCTTTGGATTTCATGGAGAGGAGATCAAATCAAATCCGAGGCTAAAGAACCATTCTTCTGCCTTCTATTCACATGGGTCTTTGGGGGTTTTAAATGGCTGTCGCTTATTTTGTTGATGTTCTTAGTTGGGGTCTTCAGAATAGCCGTGTAGAGGAGCCGGGCACATGTCAGTCGTCCTGCTTTAGAGAAAAGGAAACTGAGGCCCAGAAACAATTTAGTGACTTGTCCAGTGCCACATGGATCTCAAGCAGTGGTGCTAAGGTGAGAAGTGCAGTCTTCTACCTCCTGGCCCCGAGTTCTTTCCTGTCTTCACTCTGCCGGCAGATGCCAAGTGCCATTGGTTCTTGTCCCCTTCCCAAATTATACAGGGGTGCCTGGGTGGCTCAGTCGGTTAGGCGTCTGCCTTCAGCTCGGGTCGTGGTCCCAAGGTCCTGGGATCGAGCCTTGCTCAGCAGGGAGCCTGCTTCTCCCTCTCCTCCCTGCTCGTGCTCTCTCTCTCAATAAATAAATATTTTTTAAAAAATTAAAAAAGTATCTACAGCTTGGAGAATCCAAGGAAACTTGAAGTGGCTCATTAGTTGTTAAATTAGGGAATGTGACAGTGCACGTTCTGTGAGAGAATTGATACAATATATGGATTTACTCAGTAATATCAGTGGTTTGAAAATCAGATTAAATATTGCCCCCACGAAATGTGTTATATTGAAACTTCCAGGAAAACAATAAATACCAAGTTTGAACATGTTCAAAGGATTTTTAAACTCTCTGCCTATATATAGTTCATTTTGGAAACTTTGAATCCGTATATATGAATGTGCTGCTAAAAAGTAGAATCCGCGGGGCACGTGTGTGGCTCAGTCAGTTGGTTTTGGCTCAGGTCATGATCTAGGGGTCATGGAATCGATCTCTGCACTCAGCGGGGAGTCGTCTTCTCTCCCTCTCCCTTTCCCTTGCCTCCACCCTGCTCACACACTCTCTTTCTAAAATAGGTAAATCTTTAAAAAAAAAAAAAAAAAAGTAGAATCGGGATTATACCAGAAGTTGCCTATTTTTAAAAACAAACAGACATTCTGTTGATGAGCAAAATGCCCATCACAGAATCTGCTGAGACTACCTAACAGGAATTTTGTCATCTTCTGTGAGTTTTTATCCTTTTGTCTCACATCATGAGATTTCTTGTTTGTTTGCTCACCTGTCACTTCTAGAAGTCTCTAGAAGGGTCTAGTAGACTGAACAGCTTGCCACTGAGTCCCAAATCAACTCAGTGCTGGGGAGATGGAAAGAGATGAAGTGGAATCAGGGTATATATGGCCTGAGTAAATCCAAGCTCCACTGGAGACCCCAGTGGCCTCCAGACGAGGAGGAAGGGCCTCATCGTCATCCCCTCCCCACTTGGCCGTCTTACCACCCCCTTGTGTCACTGTCTTCCCCACAGTCCCCTTCTGTCTTGTCTGACATGAAAGATGGTTCTGTTCTGAGCTCTTTGGAGACCCATCAGAAGCTGAGCCTCAGTAATGTGATGACATGAAGGCTCATTGACCACCAGATGTTATTGGCCCAGTAGAACATAAACAGCACATGTCCAAGCCAGTGTGGTGCTGATTGAGGGATTCAGCCATTAGGGCCTCGCATGGACTTGGTGAGGGCTCAGGGTGATTAAATTCTCTACAGTGTGTCCAAACATAGTGGATTTCCTCAATGCCCAGTTGCATGCCAGAACATTCTTTGCTGGAACATGGTCAGTCCAAAAAGGACTTCTGTTCCCATTGATATTCAAAGATAGCAAGATGACTCATATTGTTCACTTCCCTTCCCCTAGCACAAATATAGCCAGCCTTATCTGTCCCATTTCCCATCACTGCTATTGGTAGATGGTTAGGGGAAAAAAAAGTTCTCTACTTTGTTCTGCTTCAGGCCTGGCTAGTAAGAGTGAAACCCTTATTTCAAGAGAAGAGTGGAACATGTTTACCTTTTTTGTTTGTTTTTTAAGCGAAGATTTTGGCAAATAAATATGAAATTGTCCCATTTTTCTCTTCTCTCAACTTCCCTGCCTTCTTTCCATGGCTTCTGGATTTAGCATACTTTATATTGTAGTCTGTAATCCATACAGTTTTAGTTTTGTCAGTGAAATGCCTTTTCTTTTTCCTGAAATAAAGATGCTTGCAGTGAGCTCAGGTAGCTGTGAGGTGGGGAGGGGAGGGAGCTCTCCCAGGCTGCTCTGCCAGGCCTCTTGGTGGCCCACCACTTTGGGTCCCTGAAGGTTAGCTTGACATTTTAATGCCTATACTTTTTTTCTAGAAAGCGTTAGTTTTATGGTTTGCGATACTCTCCCTTGCCCCCCTGGATTGAGCGCTCTGTCCTAGATTAGTTCCTAATAAAAGGTTAGGTTCTCACTAGCCAAATAATGAGATGTCTTATCTTGCTGCTTTTCTGAGTAAGTTATCCCTTCTTCATGGAGTAGAGAGAAGAAAATGCCTTCTAGACGAAACTGAGCCAACGCCAACTGCTGCATGATTCCTTGGGGTTAGGGACAGTGGACGGCAGAGACTCTGGGAATGAATCTTCAGGGCAACTAGGACTCTCATTGATGACCAGGGGAACTTTCTCTGTCGTGTTTCTAACCTGCCCCTTATCAGATAACATACCCTCTTGAGGGCTGTGTCTTCCAGGCTATTGAGATGGTAATGATCACGATGGTGGGTGGAGCTGGAGGTGCGGGAGGTGGCAGAGGTAGCCGAGGTGGGTGTCCTGGTGGTGCAGGGGATGATGGTGCGGGAGGTGGCAGAGGGGAAGGGGGTGATGACAGTGACAACAATGACAGCATTACAGGAACAACCACCAACCTATACGAGTGTTCACCATGTGCCAACACCAATCTAGGAGCCTTACAACTCAAGTAGCCTTCACAGTAACCCTCTGAGAGAGGTCCCAGTGATGCCCGTGGGGGACAGATTCCGAGCCACAAGGTGATGAAGGGACGTGTCCGTCCCACAGCCAGGAAGTGTGACGGCCGGGGTTTGGCAGATGAAGCCCGACCCGAGCTCGTGTGACCCAGCCTCACTGTCAAAACCTTGGCGGGAACAGGGGAGCAGCAGCTTTAACCTCTCCTTGTATCTTGTATCTTCAGCGCCCAACTCAGCAATGCCCATCAGGCAGTGGGTTCTTATATAAGTTGACTGTTCGGTGCCTCTGGGTTGGACATCATGGTGTTCGTCACTCTGGAGGATCGTCTAGGCAAAACCCACTAGTTCGCAGCTTATGCTGTGGGCTGTAGATTTGGACGAACAGTTTGAGGATTCACATGCCTTTTTCTCTTTCCTTATTCCTGGGGACTTGCCTCTGTCGCCCTGAAGTCTGTGCTGCGCATTATTTAACTGTTTTTGGAGAAGAGCAACTAAGAAGGCTGGCGTGTGCTGTGTCATGGCTACACAAAGTTTGGAAGTAGCTGAAATGACTTGTAAAAGTAAAGTAAGAAAAGACCTACAGCTGAGTTTGTACTATTCGGCCTCCAGTGGTTGCTCCGTCCTCCATAACTTCACGGGGGTGGTGTTGCCAGGGGGCGGGGGGTAGGGATGGGGGGCTCCCGGAGTAGGGGCAGTATGCCGAGGCCACGCTGGCTTTGCGGACTCTGTGATGCTTCTGCCCTGGCTGGGCCAGGAGGATGGAAATGACTCGACGGAGCCTCTGGTCTGCTCGGACACCGATGAGCCGCCATATGAATTCGCTTCCGTTGAAGCTGGTTCTGTATTCGCAAAGAATTGACACACGGGTGATCTCATTTAATAGTCAAGATATTTTTAGTGAAAGGTTTTTCACTCTAAATACGACTGTTGTGATGAGCACCGGGTGATGTATGGAAATGTTGAATCTCTATATTGTACACCTGAACTATACTGTATGTTAACTAACTGGAATTAAATATGAACTTAACAACAACAAAAAAAAAGGGCAAAGAAAAGCTGAGAAGCAGCCTAGTTATCCTGGAGAAGACCCCAAACACTGAATTGATAGTATTTCTGAAAATGGGTGTGAGGGGTAGAGATAAAAACAGAAGGACCAACTGAATAAAAAATCAACCAACCAACCAACCAACCAACCAATGTGACTACGTTCAGAGATTGTACTTTGATGTTTTCAAGGTTTACCCATCAATTATCTCATTTGATAATGACCACGATTCCGTGAGGTGGCAGGATAGGTATGATTGTTCTCAGTTCATTACTATTAATAACAACGGGTAGTTCTTAATAGAACTCAGCGTGTGCCAGGCACTGTGCTAAATGCCTTAGCTGCATTCCGTTGTTGGGTCCCATGAGGTGGGCACTACTGGTCACCTGCCCTTCTTGCTGAGGAAGTGTTGCTAACCTGGGCAAGGCCACGCTGTCGTTGGAGGAAAGCATCACTATTCTTACTTTACAAATGAAGAAACTAAGACCCGGAGATGTCTTAAATCCTCCCACGGAGTCCTGGTGGAGTTGAGAGCACCAGTCTGGTATAAGTAACTGCAGCCTCTGGGTTTTCTCGAACGGACGGGTATGTATTTAAAGTATCACACCCGTGTCAGTGGCACATGACAACCAGATTCTCCAAGTGCTGGTAGCAGGTCTTTGATTGGGAAACCCTACAGGGGCCAAGCTCTTGGCTTTCTCTTATACTTACAAATGGGCAGTGAGCAAAAGCTTCGCAGATGAGGGAATGAGGAAGGACCCAGGGGCAGCGTCTCATCTCAGGATCTTGTGCTTTGTCTCTTTTCTTGCAGAAGGTGGAAGTGCCCATGATGCTGCGGCTCCTCAGGGAGCAAAGGATGTTCATGATCCAGACCATCGCTCAGTACAAGTTTGTCTACCAAGTCCTCATCCAGTTCCTCCAAAACTCCAGACTCATTTAACCCCCGACCCCAGCTACTGGAAGAGGGACCCAGCTCCATCTTGCCGATGGGGAGGCACCTCCAGACAACATCTGCTCCCCCAGCAGGGCGCGGATGGCCAGAGCGGGCAGGTCATGGGCTCCCTGAAGACAGGAGCCAAGATTATTCACAAACATCATATATTATTTTATATGAGATAATTTATTTTTTTTTTTCCCCTTTTGGATAACTTCTGTGAATCACTGTAATTCAGTTTTCACAATAATATAGTACTTTTCATTTGAACCATATTTTGACTGATCTGCATTGTAAATATGTCAGTAGGGAAGATTGCCTGGTGGATCGTTTGGGGGACAGAGGCATAAAGGGAACACATCTCTAGTGAAGTTGCAGCCAGATTAGTAACCGACCCTAAAATGCATCAGCCTGATCGCTCACGTCCAAATCTAAGATGGCAAGAAAATGAATTCATTCTAAAATAAAAAGATAAGGGCCAAGGCCCTTCCCTGAAGGAAAAAAACGAAACCAAACCCACTATTCTCTTCTATTTGGGGGCTCCCGAGCCTTGATGGCCTCCCTTCTTCCTTTCTGCCCTCACCCTCAGCAGCTCGAGGTAAAGACAGGAGCAGCTAGAGGAAATGCTGCCGATCACCCAGGCTGAGCAAGGAGCTCCATATTGTACCTTTCTCAACACCCCTTCCTTTGGGCTCCGGAGCCTGTGCTCCCTGCCGGGCACTGCACCCTCGACATTTGCTATTTCTCCCTGTTTGCTCAGTGGACCCCCGTCTGGTGGTCTTTGGGGCTCCAGGCCAGGCCATCTGTGCAGCTAGGCCTCCTGCCTGATTGAGAGAGGATAATGGACCCGAGTGGGAAGAGAAAGAAGCCAGGCAGGCTCTTGATACTGTTTCTTATTTAAATAGGATGTGTGTGCTGGGCGGGGGCCTGAAGGTCGAGGTGCTGGGTACATTCTGTCTTTCCATCAGTCACCAGGTCATTGGAAAGGCTATAAAGGGAACAGCTGGGAAAGCTGATTGATGGGGGCTGTTTGGCACTCAGGTGGCGGGGCCCTGGCCAGGAAGCGTACCGAGTGTGGGCCCCCCTCCCCGCTGTGCGGCTCTCAGCGCAGAACTAAGCCCACTCAGGACCCTGTCATCCACATTTTGGCCACTGGATGCAAGGTGTGGGGATTTGTCTCGCACGAAGCCCTTCACTGCTTTCCTGTTCTCCGTGCACTGCCCCCCAACCCCCCTTCTGGGCACTTCGCAGCTCGCTTCTGTGTCTCTTCCTGAACCTACGCTGGTCAGTGTCCTCAGCTTCTTCAGGTCAGTAGGCAGTAAATCATATTCCACACGTTTTCCCTCTGGCTGAATTTTAGGGACTTTGCCTCTCTCTTATCTAGTTCTTCTTGAATGCAACTTTTAAACTATGGTTTTGTTCTTAGAATTGACATTTGTGGGTGTGCCCTTATGTAAGCCTTCCTCCACTGCTGCCCTTTTGTTTTGGTTTTGCTGAGCTGAAAATGTTAAGGAAGAATGGCATCAGGTCAGCCAGAAAAAGCGAGCCTGTGTGACATCCGGTTACCACACGGCCACAGAGGGGTGTGGAAGCGGATTCCCAGTGAACTACTTTGGAATGGGAATCCACTCAGTTTCACATCTGGCCAGGGCTTGTGGTGGTGGTTCTCTCATTTAGACTCAGAGTATCTGGTGATGAAGGGCCTCCTCTCTTCTACTCTGAAGTCTGAAGAAAACAGTCAAGGAGGGTAACTTCAGTTAAGCTCTTGAGATCGTGGAATTTGGGTGTGTGTTGTGGAAAAGAAAACCATGAGTACGACCTATACTTTCAAGGGCACAGAGCTCATCACCATCACCAGGAGATGCCCAGAACTTAGATCATCGACAGGCAAAGAGGTATCGGTTTCCTTTCCTTGGACACTTTTCCACCCTTGGGATAGTCTGCTGTTCGGGATGTTTTCACAGTTGGTCTGCGGTTACTGGCGTATCTGATGAACAACATCAGTATTTCTCTTTCATCTCTTAGGCCCCAACGTGGCCACTGGGAAAATCGAGTCTCACGTGGGCAGCATGTAGAGCCGCTCTTTGAGCTCATCACACGCGCGCTTCGTTTCAGCCCGTCCGCTGTTGTCGCTTTGTGCTACGGGAATGGTGGTTCGCGCGCACAATGGAGGGAAGAAGTAGCTTTGCTGTCCAATTGCCTAGCCAAAGTTGCTATCGAAACCCAAAGGAAACCATTTAAAAGTTACTCCACATATTTCATTTTTAAAAACAAATGTTTTTGGTTCTGTTGCGCATTCTGCGTTCCTTTCCCCCGTCTCCGGTGAATGCCAGCACGTGCCTGCGAAGTTAGCAGCAGGCGTCGAACGTCCTTCTAGTGGCATCTGTGTAATAATCACCCAGAGATGCTTTATATCTGGGAAGCAAGCCAAGGAATAAACCTTGAAGCAAAGTGTATTAAATTGGTTGTCTAGTTAGAGCTTTTGGAATGAGTTCCTGATGATGTATCAAGTCTGAAGCTGGAACTGTCGGGGTCTATTTTTTGTTCGGATTTGAAGAGAGAAAATTAAAAATGGAGGGGGAAATACCATCTCGCAGCAAAGACATTCAACACTTTGGGGCCTCTGGTTTGGAAGTTCTCCAGTTGACATGTTTTGTTTCTTTGATCTGCACTCATTCAGGCACAGGGACCCAGCGTTTGTCCTTGTTTACCGTGGTCCCTGGATGGCGGGGGCTGAGTCTGATGTCTTCATCCTTGAGCGGAGCTGAGCTGAGCCTGCTCACGAAGCTGAGCCGTGGCTTGCTGAGATTATTGGCTCCCTTAGGCTCTAAGGAGACACCACCTTTGGTAGCATTTTCATTTACACACACCTCTTTCCGTGGATAGGAGGTAAAGGAGGATTTGGCGGCATTAGAGAGGGATGCCAAATGTTGATTTCTTTACAGGAGAGGAAAGAGGAATGAGCTTCTCCTCTCAGTGAGTGAGGAACAGTAACATGGGGAAGGGGGAAAACATCTCCACATGGAATATTTTGAGCACTGTGCTTCCACGGAGCTTAAATGGAGAGAATTTTACTTTTACAAACTTTGTGATCCTAGATTTAGGTTAAGAAGAGGAACTATGATTTACCTATGATTTATTTCTTTTTTCTATGATTTTTTCTATGATGTATCTCTCACTGCTTGTGTGAGACTCACATGGCTGTCTTTGGCCCCTTCTTCCACCAGCCTGGTCAGAAGGGCTCTGTGGGCCCTGTCGAAAGGGTTCCTGTGGGACCTGACCACTGGTTTTCCTAATACTCATTCATCCTTTATCCTGTCTACTCTTAGCTTTTGAGGTTCAGTTTTAAACTCCAGGGGGTTCAGGAGGTGAGCATTTTTATCCAGCTGCCTACTTCTCTCATCTTTTCAGCTTAATTACAGGTTGACCATAGGAAATTGACAATAGCTGGACCGTTGTTACAATGACAGAAAATTCACATGAATGAACCTAATCTATACAATATTTTTCTTCCCCCTGATATAGTAGGGACCCCCACACACCATATGTCATTTCTCCACACAAGTGCTAACAAACATGAAAGCATGTGAAATGGGCAGGTTGGCCTTGCCATAATGAGCTTTGCACTTTGTGCGTGGGTCACCTCCTGGGGCTGGGAAGTCGCTCTGTGCAGAGATGTTAGTACACCTAGATGTTAGTACGTTCTCATAGGCAGGGTTGGCCGTCAGGCACATCACTATGGGGTTTTCAGCTGCCATCTCTTTTTTTGGTGTACAGTCTGTGTTAGCCGACCTTAGCCCAGTGCTTATGGCACATGGTGTGTGGGCCTGAAGGTGTCCTCAGCCAGAAGGCAGATGCGCTTTCGAATCTCATGGCTCCACTTCCAGTGATGTGTTTGATGGTGAAAACAGGTACAGCTATTGACTTTCTTTCTGGGGAGATATGACCATCACTTTGAGGTGGGGGGAGTTGTAGGGGTAGTTAGTCTAAGATACATGCCAGGGAGCTGAGACACAAGGGATGGGATTGGGTCAGACCCACATTACTGTTAATCTCTTCCTCCATTTTGGCAATAACTGCTGGGGTCCTAGAGGAGGGAATTTCCAGAAGTACCAAGTAATCACTATTGGAATCTTTAGGCGGCCCTGTGTGGGCAATTCTGCTTCCTCACATTTTACCAAAGACTCTTCTGCTGCTCTGTTTCATTTTATTCCTTTGTATTGTATCAGCTGCCCATCAGGCTCGTATTTAGTGATTTCTTTCTGTGAACAAAGTAACCACTCATTCAGTACTGCTTCCAGATGGAGAAATTTGGGTTTTCCATAGACACTGCACAAATTTTCCAGTGGCCTACAGCATTGTGGATGACAAATTAGTTGGCCCTATAGGATGGAAATAATCTTAGTTGGCCCTATAGGGTGGAAATCTCTAAGATGTTAAATTATGTTTGAAACTTCCCTTGGATCCCGTGCAAGAAAACCGACTGGCTCTTGTCTTTGCCTCGGCTCCTGAGACATCTGGGGGCAAAAGACCTTAGTGATGCATTCTTTGAAAGTAACAGCAACATGCCTGGGAGAGATTGAGGGTATAGCCAATCAAATCTTCCCATCCAAATGTGTTGCCCCAGAAGTCACTGTAATTCATGGATCCCATAAAACTCAGCAGCCAGCTTGTCTAATATGCAACCTTTATCCTGTCTGTGCTCACATTTTGCGTCTGGATTATAAACTCAGGTGGGTGAGCATTTGTATTCTGCTGACTACCTTTCTTATCTCTCAGCTTAATACAGCTGCATTTTCTGCAAGGTCAAACTAAAAATGTTCCGTTAAAATGTCCGTGAGCCTGGCATATTGAGTATCTGGCATCCATCGATTGCTTAAGACCAGATAGTTTATTGTTTGGTGCAGTGAAGTGGGAGGATGTGCATCAGTTCCTACCGTGCAGAGCTTCGGTCAGCCCTTCTCTTTTAAAAATAAATTCAAGGACATTTTGTTACAAGGCAGGAGGGTGAAAGCTGATGTGCAGCCTGGCCATGACGAGCATCTGCGTAGAAAGTCCCTTTTTCTTCTGCGGTGCTTGGGGCCATCAGGATCATTCTTTCCCAGAGATGCCATAAGCTTGCCCAGGGAAGTTATAAACGGGAAGAGGAAGAGGGAGGGCATTTTAGAGCAGCCCTAGAGTTGCCATCAAAAACATGTATTGATTCACAAATAATTTTCTGAGCTCTGGAACGTCTCGTGCTTTCTGCTTCCCTCTCCATAAGGCCAGAGGGATG